CTGCACTCCTCTTCCTTGGGGACTGTCATCTTCTGTTTCCAAACCTGCCAGCGACTTGCCCCAGGAGCTTGAGCAAATCCCAGCTGCAAGCTGCGCCCATCTCTTGGTATAGTCGTGTTTGTTATCTCTCTGGCACGTATTGTGTCTAGTTGTCGCGTGGGAGCCCTAATCTTCCTGGCTAATTAACCCAAATAGTGATCAGACTATTATCTGTGTTACAGAATGCTAATGGGGAGCTGTTAAAGCTGGTGGTGGTTGGTCTAGTCCTGTCCTTAGGATGGATGCTGTGCTCTGTGATGAGCTGTCTCAGCTTACCTCTGTCTGTAGAGAAAGCTGCATAAAAATAGATGAAAGCTTGCTTCCAACAAATTCTATTTGATAATTGTTCTCCAAGTTTAGGCTGTCTCTTACAATGGTTTAAAAATAAAAGTTACAAGCAATATTTTTACAGCCTTTATTTCTAAAATCAAAATGCTGGAGGGGTGATAAATAGCTGCCGTAGTATGTGAATCTGGGATTTTGTGCAGATCAGCATCTTTTGCATCTTTTGAATCAACTATATTCAACAGCCGGTTGGAAAAAAAAAAACAAAAACAAAAAATTGTCAGAAGTTGAAATTTTCCAGTCCATGAATTAAAACAAGGTGTGAGATGAATTAATTCATCTTAGGTGAAAGGCGATAGTAACCAGAGTCAGGCTGTCAACTAACCAGAACACAGGCAGTATTTCATATGACTTTAATAACCCAGTGAAGTGCCAAAAAATGTTCTGGTCTTAATTTTTCTTGTGTAGCCAGGCCGCTTAAGGAGGTTTAACCATTAAACAGCATAGAATAAGATTTCATTTTCTGTCCCAGGGCAGCTTCATCTCTGCTTAACAAATGGCGCACACACCGGTTTTCTACTGTACGGTCACAAACTGGGCAGGTATCTTTAGCCATATCGCAACGGAGGGGAAGCACTCTCTGTTTAAGCAAAAGAACGCGGTTTGTACCACCCGTGGGAATGAACAGCTCTTTGGAAAAACACGTAGAGCAGTCATTCTTAATGAAGTAGGTGAGTTTTTCTTTGTTTGCTAATCAGGTGGGCAGCGTTACGCTCTGCAGACCCGGCAGCCGTTGGCCTTACGGTACATCCAGCGTTTCAGTCCCTGCAAATCCTCCGTTGCCTTAGCGGCGGGAGTTCTCACTTTCCAGTTAAAAGCTTGTGGCAACCCGAAATAAGGGGCTTTGCCAGCTTGACAGGCTCTAAAAGCTGTGTCCGCACACAGCGGTTGCAGGTGCATAGGAAACAAATCCCTGTGCAGTCCCCTCTCTCCTTGGCACGCCCGGCGATGCTGTGCCGTCCCTAGCGGGGCTGCAGGGGCTTCCCAGACCCTGCCCTTACTTTCTAGGCAAGGAATTGGCCGTGGCTCTGCTGCGGGAGGAGGGCAAGGTTCCATTTCTCCTGGGCTACCGCCCTGGCTGTGCAGAGGAGTCATCCGTGGGATGATTTTTTGGGTGGTTCTTGGCAGAAGGTTGGCTGGTGTGGTGCAAGGTGAGCGTGCACAGGGTTCCTCCTGCAGTCGTTGGGCTCTGCCGGCTCCGTTGGGGAGTTTCTCTCATGGAGTGAGTGGCCTGAGACTGGGTTTGAGGTGTCTTGTCCTGTTTGTGATGATGAAAGGTGAAAGTTGGAGTGAAGGCTGAGCTGGCCGTCGCTGTGCCGTGGGTGAGGTCTGCGGGTGCTGTACCTGCTACGCTTACCTCTCACTTCAAGGGGAAAAAGGATGATCTCTCTTCCTACTACCTTTTTAATAAGGAAGTATCTGATCATTTACAACTGGTGGCGTACGTGGTAAACAATTCCTTCAGAGCCACCCTTAAGTTTCTTGGGGAGTATAATGTTCGTAGCGTGTTTAAAATGTTCAGTCAAATAATCCTCTTAAGGGAAAAAATGGGGAGGAGGCTTGAGAAGGATGATACAAATCAGCCGGCACAGGATGAACGCTGCCTGCAGGGCCCCGTACAGGCTCGGCTCCTTGTCGGGTGCCTGGGCAGGCAAGTAGTAAGTGTTTGCCCAAATGAAAGCAAAACTAGAGCGTTTTGCTTTAACTATGTCAGTACTTAGGGCTGAATGTTCTGCTTAGGAATGCTTACACTGCCGAACCAAGTATGGTAACTTGTATTGAATAGACTTCCATCATCATACCAAAACTAAAATTACTTCAAAAAGTTCGATTAAATTGCATTTCCTGCCTAGAAGTCCCCTCTTCAGGCTTTTTTTTTTTATCCCTGTACTTTGAAATCTTGGATATGACAATGTGATGATTTCTTGCAAAATTGTGGGGCGGTGTATTTGGTTTTTTTTTCCTTTGTCTTTCTGTGCCCAAGCTCAAGAGACTGGGAAACATCTTGATTCATCCTTTGGCCACATGACTTCATAGCTGGCTGACCTCGTGTCATCGTGGCCGCAGCGCCTCTGGATGCTGTGAATTGTCAGAGAGGGGATGGGATCAGCCATGCTTCATACCATCGCCTCGGTGGTGACTAATGGAAGAGGGTGGGAAACCAGAGCAGCTGAGTAAAAGCAAATAGAAAGAACATCCTACCGGAGTCTTACCGTGGGTACTGACCTTGTTTTTTGGCTGTCTGCTGTGGGGTTTTCCAGCCCTCCTCGCAGACAAAACCCGGTGGGTATTGCCTGACTCATTCAGAAACATTGGGTTTCATATGTGGCAACTTTCTTCAGTCCTTTCTAACTTTCCAGATAAAGTTTGAGAGTTGGCCTTGACGGTCTGTGGAGTCAGCTTTCCACTGAAGCCAGCTTTCCGACGTTGAAAAGTCTGTGTTCTGTCGCTGCAGGGAGTTGAGGCGGCGTTTGAGCCTCTGCCTTCTAGGTGCGTGACTCGTACCTTAAAGGAAAAGCTCTGCCCACCTTGGTCTGTGCCGTTCTGCAGCCTGAGGAAGAAAGGCGAGAAGGTTTGGAGCGGTTTGGAAACGTGGCTCTGGCGAGGCAACCTCTGGGAGCTCGCAGCCGAAACGGGGCAGGAAGCCGACGCTGCGGGCTTCTAACTTGAGTTTCTAAAGCATCAGGAAAGCCTTGTTTGAAATGTAAACTGTGAGAACTGGTAAGGCGCTTTGGAAACTAGAATTTGGTTTTAGGTGTTCCAGTAAAGAGGGCTTGATTGGTGTGAAGACTTCAGCGGCACCATTTTAGGGATCCTTGTGGGTTTAAGGTCCTCTTTTTTGAGTAACTGTGAAGGAATGGGAAGCGGAGCTGACGAGCAGGTTGGCTGACAGGGAGAAACGCAGGGAAAGACGTGGAGGGAGTAAAGGCAGACTGCCAGAGCGAGGTGCTGCTGTCTTCTGAGCAGGACAGCGGCGTGGCTTCGGAGGACACGTGCTTTGCTGCTCCGTAAGGCATCTCCCGCCTGTTGTTTCCCCTGTTTCTTACTCTAGCAGAGCGCTCGTGCCCTTCTCATTGGGCTGTCGTGGGAGGTTGAGGCTTACAGGGTTGCTGCCTCCTGCAGATACTTGCTCTTCTTGCTGAACCACAGGCAGATCTGCCAGTGCCTTCCCTCCCGTGCTCCTCCATGGGAGACCTTTCTGGTGGCCTCCGAGAGCCCTCCTGAGGAGCTGTTGAAGATAATGAACTTCCTCCCCAGCTGTGTCCTGGAAACAAAGGGCTGTTGTGTTCAGCCGTTGTCCTTGCTGTGTGCAGGGGCCCTGCAAGAAGAAGCTCTTCCTTCCCTCTATACCAACCAGCATCTGCAATAATTGCTAATTATTTTTTTTTATTAGTAGATATTCCTGAATAAACTGCGTCTTTGGGTGGATTTCTAAGTAAAATTGTTATTGCTAGTGATACCTTGGGTGCAAGGGACTGGCAAAAGACTGTTTTGAGAGCCCAGGCAGTTATGAGATACTTAAATGAGGAGAAAGGAAACAAATCTCACTCTGCAGGTGACATGATCCTTAAAAAACATGATCTGCAAATGTTGCTTACAGGGGTTTCGAGATATAAAGCGATGTGCTTTTGGATTTGGTTAAAATTAGGCTAAATTGAGTCAGGACTGAATCCAGTAGACCGTCTCTGCGTGTCACGGCCCTGATGGCGTCTCTCCACTCTGCACTGCCTGCTTTTCTGGTCCTGTGCGGGGTACGAGGTGCTCCTGCACGCACCGTGCCAGCACGCCTGAGGCATCTTGGGAGGGAGCCTGCTGCCACGGTGTCCCAGCACGCTTCGTCACTCCATCCCACGGAACCAAAGGCAAATTAACTCTTTGCTGCTCTTCCAGACTGTATTTACCCAGCTAACCAGAGAAATTCCGCGTAGGCACGTAATATTACATAGCAAGCCTTATTTGCATGCAGCAGAAGGCTTGAACTCATACTTGACGGTTCAAGGAGCGGCTCCTTCATCCCGCAGGGAAGAGGAAGGTTTAAATAACACTTATTGATAACAAGGAGTCCTCAGTAAATCAATAATTTTATCTAGATCCTACACAGGTGGTAATACAGACTCTTCTTTCGCTTGTAAATGTTTCATTTGCTTGTAGGTCATGCTTGTCAGTGGAGGGCTAGCGTATCAACAGCCGTGCGTGGGTGAGCCTTTCCTCCTTTTGCAGGGTCTTAGAAATAACTGAAGGATGCCCAATCAAGGGGAAAAATTTAAACCCACCCGGTATTTATGGGATAACCGTGGATGTGTCTATCAGAGAGGAAAATGCCATCCGTGTTTATTCACCATCTGATAGGAACTGAGGAGAAGAGGGGCTAAACCAGCCCGAGAAACGTTGCTGAAATAGTTTTTTCGTGGCTGTAAGTGTCCGAGGTCTGTCTGGAAAGAACGGATAGAAGCTGTTACTGCTTTCTCTAGTGGGGGTTGTGGAGATAAAACCGGCTGCTTCTGGTTTCACCCTACGGTTTCTTGAAACGCTGAAACGGCTTAAAATAGACGGCTTTCTTGTGGCTTTCTAAACTTAGATGTCTTGCTCAACTTGCCTGTGTTTCCTTTAAACAGGTTGCAAAATAAAAGCGCTAAGGGCCAAGACAAATACTTACATTAAGACCCCCGTTCGTGGAGAAGAGCCCATCTTCGTTGTCACCGGACGAAAAGAGGACGTAGCCATGGCCAAAAGGGAAATTCTCTCAGCTGCTGAGCACTTCTCCATGATCCGAGCGTCACGCAACAAGAACGGCCCTGCCCTGGGAGGCTTGCCATGTACCCCCAACCTGCCGGGTCAGACGACAGTCCAAGTCAGGGTGCCTTACCGCGTCGTTGGGCTCGTGGTCGGACCGAAAGGAGCTACAATCAAACGAATCCAGCAGCAGACCCACACCTACATCGTCACTCCCAGCAGAGACAAGGAGCCCGTCTTCGAGGTGACGGGAATGCCCGAAAACGTCGACCGCGCGCGCGAGGAGATCGAGATGCACATAGCCATGCGCACCGGCAACTACATCGAGCTGAACGAGGAGAACGACTTCCACTACAACGGTACAGACGTGAGCTTCGAAGGAGGCGCCCTGGGGTCCGCGTGGCTGGCCTCTCACCCCGTCCCTCCCAGCCGCACCAGGATGATTTCTAATTACAGGAACGACAGCTCCAGCTCCTTGGGAAGCGGCTCCACAGATTCCTATTTCGGAAGCAATAGGTTGGCTGACTTCAGCCCGACGAGCCCGTTCAGCACGGGCAACTTCTGGTTTGGAGAAACGCTGCCTTCGGTGGGCGCGGAAGACCTGGCGGTCGACTCTCCCGCGTACGACTCCTTGCCGACGCCTTCCCAAACCATTTGGACCCCTTTCGAACCTGTAAACCCGCTCTCTGGCTTCGGCAGCGACGCCGCTGGTCACGCCAAGCCTCAGCGCCGAGGGAGCCAACCGTCTACTCCTCGCGTGTCGCCCACGTTCCCGGAAAGCCTGGATCACCCTCTGGCGAGGAGAGTGAGGAGCGACCCACCTAGCACCGGCCACCAAGCCGGCCTCCCCATCTACATCCCCGCTTTCTCCAACGGTACCAACAGCTATTCCTCTTCCAACGGCGGCTCCACGTCCAGCTCGCCCCCGGAGTCGCGGCGGAAGCACGACTGCGTGATCTGCTTCGAGAGCGAAGTCATCGCGGCCCTGGTCCCCTGCGGCCACAATCTCTTCTGCATGGAGTGTGCCAACAAGATCTGCGAGAAGGAAGCGCCATCGTGTCCCGTTTGCCAGACAGCTGTTACTCAGGCAATCCAAATTCACTCTTAAATATATAGAGAGATGATTATATATGGACTTTTTTAAAACTTAAAGGCATGGGTGTCATGGTACCCTCTAGTAAACTTCCTAATGAATTCTGACTGTTGGGCTTTCTTGGGATTAGGCTGAAGTTGTTAATGAATTTCTACTTTCTCAAAAGGCTGCTACGGTAACACTAAACCTAGGTGGTCTCTGGCCGGCTCAGTGTCAGCAGGTGGCGTGCTCAGCGGAGGGACGTCTGCCGTGGCGCTACGGCACAGCGAGGGGAAGCTTTCGTCAATTACACAGTAGGAAAAAAAAAAAAAAACAAAACAAAAAACAAAGCAAAAACCCCACAAATTTTACAGGCTTTCTAGAGGATCTCTTAAGCGTCCGACTTCTGTGCACTGGCAGCCGCGAACCTCGTCGCCTGAACGCAGAAGCGCTGCCGTGGAGGGCTTGTGGCATTACCGATATATCAAACAACACTTCCAACGCTGCCTTCTTTACACTGCCAGTCTTGAAAAAAAAAAAAAAACAAACAAAAAAAAAAACAAAACAGGTTTGGGGAAATATTTTGTTTTGCTTTCGGCGACAACTTATGCCTAATTCTTCAGCATTGCAAATACCTTTTTTTTTTTATTTTATTTTATTTTATTTTATTTTTTTTAAAGAAAAGAAAAGCGTAGTTTGAAGTGGATGATGTCCTCGGCAGGTTCGAATGATGCGTGGCGAGGAGGCGGGGGAAGAGAAGCTGCGCCTCCGTTTCGCCCGCCGTGTTCAGGGAGGTGTGCCCGGAGGATCAGGGCCATCTCCGTTGGTGAATTCCACCGCTTTTCTTAGCCTGGCTGGCTTCATCCCGCTCCAGCCAGGGCTTTGGGATGCACCTACTTCGAGGAATAGTGAGGATGCTGACATTCCGTTCGTTAGTCCGATCAAGCTGTTCTTAAATTACATTTTTTTTTAGAGAGATATAGTTCAAAATGTGAAGCATTTTTGTGTTTGATCCATATTTGTCTTGCACATATATAAATATATATTTTATTTTAGTAAGGAAAAGGAAAAAAAAAAAGGGGGAGTCGCATACGTGCCCTTGTGTTAGTCATGACAGCAGCTGTGACAGTGGCCCTGCGATCAGTTTACTTCATTTCAACGCTCTCTTTCCAATCATGAGGTAACAAAACCAAACCAAAATGTCTTTTGAACATGCTTCTTACATTTCAACCTGTGGATGTTTCAAGCTTTTTTTTCCATCCTCAGTACGTTCCCAAATCTGTGCTGGCATCTGTGAAAACAACAAAAAA